AGGAGTCCTCCCAAGACCTTCGCCTGCCAGTGTCCTTGTCCTCACGGTGTGACAGAGCCATGCCCCGCCTCGGCAGGAGACCCTCCAACACTAGCTGGTAGGTCTGGTTTAGTCTCCCCTGGGGTCACTGCTCCTCCACCTGGGTCCCGATGTGCACACTACTTTGTGTGTGCCCTCCAAGAGTGGAGTCTCTGTTTCCCCCAGTCCTGTCAAAGTCCTGCAATCAGTTCCCACTAGGCTTCACAGTCTGATTCTCTAGGAATTCCTCCTCCCATTGCTGGACCCCCAGGTTGGGAAGCCTGACGTGGGGCTCAGAACCTTCACTCCAGTGGGTGGACTTCTGTGGTATAAGTGTTCTCCAGTCTGTGAGTCACCCATCCAGCCGTTATGGGATTTGATTTTACTGTGATTGTGCCCCTCCTACCGTCTCGTTGTGGCTTCTCCTTTGTCTTTGGATGTGGGGTATCTTTTTTGGTGAGTTCCAGTGTCTTCCTGTCGCTGATTGTCCAGCAGGTAGTTGTGATTCTGGTGTTCTCACAAGAGGGAGTGAGAGCACATCCTTCTACTCCGCTATCTTGGTTCCTCTCCCAGATGATTCTTTAGTACACTAAAGTGGCTGAAATTAACTTGAGATCTTAAACTTTCAGATCAGAAGTTTCTTTAGTCCTTCCCTAGAATGAATTAACTTTTATGATTTGTCAACTCAGTTTAATGAAATAATTTTTCTTCCCCTCTCTTCCCCTCTCTAGGTGAAGCAGCATATGGCGAATTTAACCTCATGTGCGAAGTTTCTTAGGAAGTTTCATGCAGACTTAAAGCGCTTAATGTTTCTTTATGGAAAGTTTCCCAGAATATTAGACAGTTTTCTTTCCTTGCTTACATGTTTACAGAATTGAGATGGATTGTTACTGCATTTCTTGGAAGATGAGATTGCTGGATATATTTATATATATTTTTGTATTTTGAAGCCATTTTCATAGAGACATGTCATTCATTATGATCAAAGAAGTTTTGTTCCATCAATTCCAAATAGTTTGCCAATGATGCTCCTTAAAGAGGAGTGGGTACCAGTTTTACGTTGCCCATTGGCATTTGAAAGTACTCAAGTATGTGTTTTTGATTACTGAAAACCACTGTGCTTTGGGAGAGGTGTCATGCCTCCACAGCTGCTGCCTTAGCCTGTATTAAGGGCTTGGCTCCTGTTATAGGGCACCTGAATAAATCTTGCCAAGACAAACAAACAGTGATGAAACACAAATGGAGCATCCCACTGATGGTCCATTTATGTCTGACAGTCCTGGGTGTTGTTAATCCAACACAGGGCAAGACTATTTCTTATAAAGAAGTTTAAAAAAAGCTTTTGAAGTCTAAAGTGATAATTATCTAGAACAAAGGAAGTTCATAAAACTTCCTGAATTTGATTTAATCAAGGAAGTTCATAAAATTTTCTGAATTTGATTTCCCCAGCTAGGTGGACACTGTATAATTAGTTTCCTCCACTCAAAATACATAGACACAAGCACACATTTTTTTTTGCCCCAAAATGGGATTGCAAAGAAAGAAAAGAAAGGAGGGGATTTTGTGTGTAATTTGTTTCTGGTGTTCTTTTCTAAGTTAAGTTAACGCAGATATAGACCAGTTTAAACCAGGGCCCAAATCCATCTCCCAATCACTCTGTCTAGCTTTTTTTCTAATGCTACTCTCAACAATGAACTAAGCCTTCCTCAACTGCTTCAAATCTCTAAATGGCTTCTAATGCTGTTACTACCTAAATCACGTCATCAGAGGGAAAACAACGTGACTTTTAGAAAAGAAATCACATTTCTTCAGAAGGAAAAAACTGTTTGCTTTTATTACCTATATACATGATTTCAGAAGACTGTATGAGATCCTTCATAAAGACCTGTGTCAGGAGTCAAGCAACTGAATCCTTAAATGGCTAAGAGAGAGGAAGTTGAATATGAGTTTGAAGACTACAAAATGAACTTATCTAAAATCGAGCAAACAGCTTCTCTTTAAGAAAAATGATGTATCTTAAACTTGGTAGAGTAGGTTTCTTATTCAAGGCATTAATAATTAAAAGCATTATTTTCATGAAATATGTTGGATTTATTTTCTTACACAGAGATGTTAATATTTATTACATGTTTTTTCACTGTCCACTGTTGGAACCCTTTTGTGTTTTTATTTTATAATCAACTTCTGGCTGCTTCAAAGCTGAAAATGAACAATTTGACTCTTTCCTATTGGTAAACAGCTCATTGTGTCTTAAAATTTGGGGATTGGCCAGAATGCAGCCTTTGTCATGGATCTTCCCTCAGGGCCTTGGGTGCCAAGGTACCTTGTGATAGAATTAGGTTGAGAGTGTCTATCTGTATTTCTCCCTTTACCCAGTTATTGTGAGTTTTCTCTTCATCATTTGGTACCATGTAAAAACATTTGTATTCAGGTAAGATCCAGTTATCACAGTGGAGTGAACCACTTTTTCACGGAAGGTGCTGCAGATTCCTTTATAATTGAATGTGCAGATTGTCGCCATTATGTTATGATTGACCACCAGAGGACACTGTGGACCACTTTTTGTGCCGATGCCAGTTCTTGTACAGTAAGAACATGAACTTACATGCAGGGACATGTTCCAAGACCACCTCTCCCCCCGCTCACCCCCACCATGGATGCCTGCAACCCAGGATGGTACCAAACCTATATATACTATGTTTTTTCCTATACATACATATGATAAAGTTTAATTTATAAATTAGTAAGAGACTATCCAAATTGCCAGCATCACTACTCTTGTGGTTTGGGACCATTATTAAGTAAAATAAAGGTAACTTGAAACCAAGCACCGTGATGCCAAGACAGTTGATCTGATAACCCCATTTGCTACTAACTGACGGGTAGTATTGATATATACAGTGTGGATTCGCTGGACAAAGGGCTGACTCGTGGTGTAAGATTTCATCATGCTACTCAAAACAGCACACGCAATTTAAAACTTATGAATTGTTTATTTCTGGGATTTTTCATTTAATATTTTAGGACTGAGGTTGACCACTGGTAACTGAAACTGCCGAAAGCAAAACTGTGGATAAGAGGGGACTACAGTATAGCAGAGCTAATCAAGCCCACCATGGGTTGGGATGGGGGAGATGGCCTCGATGAGATGACCCTGGATTAAATGCAGCCCAGCAGGGCAAGAGGAGAAGCCGAGGCCTGGTCTCATGCTGCTGCCGATTGGCTTTCATGGATCTATCCCTCCCTGTCAAGTGCTTCATGCCCTGCTGCAGAACTGGGGCAGGGTCCTGACCCAAACCAGGTAGGAGATGAGTGTCTTGGTCGGCCGCTAGCTTTGGCCCAGAGAGCAAGGCAGGCCCTGATCAAGAAAAGAGAAAATCAGAAGTGAAGAGGGAGCAGCCAAGGAACCCTGAGCCGCTGAGTCCAGGGGGCTGTGCTTGGCGGGTGTTGTCTTGGCCTTGGATCTGTGCTCAGCTGGTCAAGGCCATTTATTTATTTAAAAATTTATTTTATTTTATTTTATTTATTTTTGGCTGCATTGGGTCTTTGTTGCTGCACGTGGGCTTTCTCTAGCCGCGGCAAGCGGCAGCTACTCTTCTTTGCTGTTCACAGGCTTCTCATTGTGGTGGCTTCTCTTGTTGCAGAGCATGGGCTGTAGACGCACGGGCTTCAGTAGTTGTGGCACGTGGGCTCAGTAGTTGTGGCACGTGGGCTCAGTAGTTGTGGCACGTGGGCTCAGTAGTTGTGGCACATGGGCTTCAGTAGTTGTAGCTTGTGGGCTCTAGAGCGCAGGCTCAGTAGTTGTGGTGCACGGGCTTAGTTGCTCCGCGGCATGTGGGATCTCCCCAGACCAGGGCTCGAACCCGTGTCCCCTGCAATGGCAGGCAGATTCTTAACCACTGCGCCACCAGGGAAGTCTTCAAGGCCATTTATCTTTACCAGGCTGTGGCCAATAGTCATGGTTCATTCTGTCTTTTAGTCCAGTTTCAAATTCCTTTCAAGTATGAGGTGGAGTGGGGAAAAGTCCTTTATGACATGAGGCAAGGCTCCATGAGCCAATGCATACATATTCTGATTGGAGGTTGTTCATGTCATGTTTCCCTTCTTAGTAATATTCAGACTGAAGATCACAAAGTCGTCGAAGAGCAGACTCTACTTTCCTGTGGTGGGGCATGTTTTCAGTTTTAGTACTGAAAAAAATAACGTTCTACTTTGTGTAAAACTGGTAGGTCAGTATTTTTAGGGAAATTCCAAACTGTCACTTCAAAACAAGGTGCTCTATATATTTTCATCTGAGAAGACAATGATAACCTTTTTGGAATTAAGGGAGTAACCAGTAAAACTGTATCTTTTCCTTAGTTTTTTTTTCCTTACTATTTATTGTAAGATATATATTTTTGTGTGGAAGTTACACAAAATAAAAGTTTAAAAATTAATAATTTCACCAGCCAGCATGACAGCTAATATATATATTTTTTAACTTTCTTTTTTTTTTTTTGCTGTGTTGGATCTTAATTTCTGTGTGAGGGCTTTCTCTAGTTGTGGCAAGCAGGGGCCACTCTTCATCGCGGTGCACGGGCCTCTCACTATCGCAGCCTCTCTTGTTGCGGAGTGCAGGCTCAGTAGGCTCACGGGCCCAGTTGCTCTACGGTATGTGGGATCCTCCCAGACCAGGGCTCGAACCCGTGTCCCCTGCATTAGCAGGCAGATTCTCAACCACTGTGCCACCAGGGAAGCTGACAGCTAATATTTTGATGTGTTTTCTTAGAAGACACATCTTTGCTTCCATGAAATGTTTAAGTATAATTAAGATCATGCTAAAGTTGATTGTGTATCACGCTTCCTTCACTTAATCATAAGCTTATCTTACTAGAAACTATTTATAAAGATGGCTTAGAATGGCTGCAGATATTTCATCAGGTTGATCTACTTTGGCTACCAAATAATGGTCTATGTTAGCACTCTGTTGCTAGTGACAGAAACCCAAGTCAAAGTAGTTTAAGCAAAAAGAGTTCATTGATCTTAAAATATTCCTTCAGAACTCGCTCTTCATCTCCTGGCTCCTCTTTCCACTGTGCTGGTTTTAACTCCAGTCAGCAATCTTAGAGCAAAGAGGATGCATCTTTCCCAGCCAGGGGAGCCCTTCCTGAATAATCCCTGTGTCTGGGAATGGGGTTCCCTCATTGGCCGAGACTCCATCCTATGTCTTCCCCTGCAGTTGGGGATTCAGCTCAGCACTCGTCAGAACCATGGGGACTGGGAGAATTTTGAAGTGGAGCTCCTGAAAGGAAAGAAGTTATGTTAACTGAAGGGAGACTGGACAGGCAAAAGCTAAGGGCTGCTACCACTTTCTCCAGTATTTGAACATTTTAAGTTACTTCCAGTTTTTCCCTGTTATAAGACAGAAATCTTTATGTGTGGAGTATTTTCTACATCTCTGTTTGTTTCCTTGGAGAGATTCCCAGCAGTGGAATTCCCAAGCAAAAAGTTGGTGGTGGGGTGGGGGACGCTTCCCTGGTGGCGCAGTGGTTAAGAATACGCCTGCCAATGCAGGGGACACGGGTTCAAGCCCTAACCCAGGAAGATCCCACATGCTGGGTAGCAACTAAGCCCCTACACCGCAACTACTAAGCCTGTGCTCTAGAGCCCGCGAGCCACAGCTACTGAAGCCTGTGGGCCTAGAGTCCATGCTTCTCAACAAGAGAAGCCACGATAATGAGAAGCCCGCGCACCGCAACGAAGAGTAGCCCCTGCTCACCGCAACTAGAGAAAGCCTGTTCACAGCAACAAAGACCCAACACAGCCATTTAAAAAAAAAAAAAAAAAAAAGTTGATTGCCCTTAAGGCTTTATT